TAAAGATCTCTAGTAAAAATATAAAATAAAAAAAAAAAAAAAAAAAAACAACACAAAAAAAAAAAAAAAAAAAAAAAAAAAAAAAAAAAAAAAAAAAAAAAAAACAATTTTTTTAATGAAACATATATATTTTAATTTTAATTAATAAATTATCAATAAATTAGAATATTGATATAATAATTTATAAGCAAAGTTATTATTGTTTGATTAAGAATTAATCATGTCAATAATAATAAATTAATTAATTTTATTTAATTAATTTAATTTATAAAAATTATTAATTAAACTTTAAAATTTTAGAAATATATTATTTGGATAAATATATTTATTATTAAGATATTATTAGTAGAATAGAATATATCCAAGCAATTGTTTTATAAAATAATAGTTGAAAGTTGAAAGTTAAAAAAATTATTGAATATAATAAACTTTCTAAAATCTTTTATAATAATAATTGAAAACTTCAAACTTCTTTAAGTAAAGTATAATTAATTAATTAATCTTTTGAAATTGGTTTAGTTTTTTTATAACAAATTATTAGATATATTAATATATCTGTTTCAAATAATAGAAATTATAAATTTTCTAATTACTTTGTAAATAAAACTCTTTACAAGTTCAAGAGACATTGAAAAATTTAAAATAGTTTATTAAAAAATCAAAAATATCTTTACTACTTTATTATCAAACCATAAACTTCCAGTTTTTTTTTAAAATTATAATATGTATTAGATATGAGACTTTTATTAAATGAGAGTTTATAACTATTATATTAAATATCTTCTATCAAATAATAGCTTAATGCCAATTTAGCTAACTATTATTAATTGTTAATTTTTCACATTACAACTTTGACATAATCAATATACACAACTTTAAACATCAAGTAGATGATTCATATTATACATGTTTTCTTATTACTATAAAAGTAAATTTGATTGACAATATGATTCCAAATTAAATATGAATTCCAATTATTTACTAATTGTTATTTAGTAATATAAACATAATATAGTTTTTGAAAAATATCTAAATTAAATATGAACACATATATAATCCATATACCAAGTAAGACTTATATAGAAAATGAAAATTCTACTGCTAATTTAAACCACCTACTAGGTTCAGTTTTGACTACATCTATTGTGTATGGACATGTTATAAAATAATATTATAGAGATTAAATCCAATATTCTAGTTACTGTTATCATTTAATTCTTGAGATGTATCACTAGTATAATGTGATACTACTGTTTTTATCACCCATAAAACTGGTGTTCTTGCTTGGATTCTGATTTAATTTTAGTATTGGTCCTTATTAGACTTACTTGGAATTAACAATTTTTGTCTAACTTCTTACTATTTATAGCTGATATCTTTGTTTTTTTGATTGTATTTTTAAGTTCTGTGAAATATCATCGATTGGAATAAATCTCAAAGCTCCAGATTGGGATAAATCAACTTAGAATTAATTTTTTTGTGATTGTGTAATAAAGTTTGTTATCATTAGTTTTGGTTAGAGTTTATAGACTTATTGTTTGAAGTTAGATCAAAAGTCTTTTTTTATGCAACCTTCTATGCTTCAACTTGTTTTCAAACTGTAATTATTGGGAAGACCAGAGGTGCCATCTTTATGCAACCTAATTGAATTTGAAGATAATTAAGAATTATTGGATATGACATATGCAAGATATTCAGAAAATCCACTTATGAAGATAAATATGCCTTTTTTGCCTTCTGTGGGTATTGAACTAGAGATATGCATTTGAAGACCTGGGAGCACTATCCACCATTAATTTACAGGTCTATAAATTTCCAATTTTTAAACTATTTGTTGATTTATATTATAATGATTTTGGAATGTATCAAAATGTATATCATTCTCTTGGAAGAGTTTATATCCAATTTGGTAATATGCCTATATTTATAAAAAAGCTATTAAAAATTATTTTCTTTTGTGATTTGTACCTTTTGACATGAACAAAATAATACTATGATTCATGAATATAAAATCAATGATAAACACTAACAAAGCAATGTATTGCAAATTTATTTTATCTGTATTATATACATCAATATCAATTGCAAAAAGAATGACTAATAAAGAAATCCATATAGAATTGCAGAAGGATATTTCAAGTGAAAAAACATCCAGAAGAGTTGATTATACCATAACTGAGATGAAGTACCTTTTGTGTATCACTGAGGGCTATGAAATATTAAGATAGGTTACCTTCAAAATATAAAACATCCTTCCACATGAACAAGAAAAAGTGACTGCAGACGAAGCATTTAAGGCCAAGGATTATAACTATCTATATAGAATTGTGTTGACTGGTATGAGAAAAGTTTTCTATTATGGAGCAGATTTATAGGGCAACTCTTGTCATGATCTTCGTTCTGGCTTTGCTACTCACTTCTGAAGGAATTTTTTGTACTAGTAATAGTGAATATCAAATAAATCTTACGAAAAAAACATTCAATAAAAATCCGGAAAGTTTGAGGAAAGATATAAAACAGGTAACCAGTATAATCATAGGGTTATGAAAGATAGGGTGTTAGCGTGTGATGAACCTGAAAATAAGAAGCGACGTGTACAAGAAAAAATTACTAAGAAACAATGAGTATATTGCACCCGCTTCATACGTGTATGTATTTTTTTATTGTATTAGTGTAAGCAAGCCTTCGGTTAATAAAGCAATCAGGTACAAATGGTCTTTTTCTGATAATTAATTTTTATGTGCAATATTTTCCTCCGAATTTATTTTGGCGTTTACACTTCCTAAACTAAGTTTAGTGATTTTTATCATGTGATTTATATCTCTACAATAAAGAATTAAATATGTCTGCACCTTATATAAAACGACGGTAGACACACAATACAATTGTTTTGCAAAGAGAATTAAATACCAAGCTTACAATTGAGATTAGCAAACTAAGAAAAAAGTATGCTGAGCTTGAAACTAATAATATCGAAGTCGAAGCTGAGAATATGTACAAAATTAAAATGAGACTAAGAAGAAATTGAAGCCAGATTCTTGAATATAGAGCAGAGAGATAAGGGAAAAACGGATCTTATTGCTAAACTGAAACATGATGTTTTACTAATCAAGGAACAGAGCTTGCAAAACAGGGGTAGTGAATATACTGATAACACATCTGATGATGCAGAGTATCGAACATCTGATTCTTCTGTATCCCCTAAAACAAATAATAATAGTGAACAGATAAACTTACGATGTGATTCAAATTTCGACTTATGTCAGGGGACAAAGACTCAGATGGAGGTTGATTCACGTCAATGCTCCACATCACCAATCTGTATAGGAAACAAATCTTCAAAAGATAAAGTAATCGATGAATTTCTAGACCTAAAAGAAAAGAAGCTTGGATCTCAAGATCCTTTATCATAAGATAAAGATATTTCACAATATAATAAAAACAAAGTACAGACAGTAATGTGATACCTACAACCCTAAATGAAACAGAAGAGTCAAAGACTCAATGCTTCGCATCATCTCAACCCAACAATACTAGCTTCACATTTTTATACGAAAAACCTTGTAATGCTATAATTCTCGCTGACCGTAAAACCCAAGAAGCACTCTTCTGTTATTGTAATTTTGGTAAAGTTCTCATTCAAAGACGTAGTGAATTGGCATCAGAAAAACAAGTTGATCCGGATTCTAATGCAGTTAGTAGAATTTTAAATAAGGAAGTTCGCGCTCAACTCCCTGCAAATATTTCTGACGCGCTTTTATGGAAGATAATCGAAAAGGCTAAAAAGCTCTACAAACTTTTCAGTGTAATAGGTATGGATAAAATTTATCGAATACATTCCTTTTTCTGCTGATATTATCTCGAAAATGACAACAGAGATATTCAATATATTATAGATAACGTAACATTTGACTATAGTATTAAGATAGAACCCACCCTAAAATCCGAATTCCCTGAACCGAGTTCAGGAAGTGATCAGCAAATTTCTTGCGAAAAAGAAAATAAAGATTCAGAATTTTTGGAAACAGAGGTAGGCACTACATTCATTCCCTCTGTCCCATTGTTTCATACCTCCAATTCGGAAGATATTATGAGTGAGGATAACAAATATTTACCGGAGGAAGAGGTAAGCATATCTACTGGAGCAATTTCAAAGATAAACCAGAAACTGTAAATGAGGATAATAATATAAGCGAGAAAGCCGAATCTTTACTAGAGGGAGAGGTAGGTGAACCCGATGATTCTCTAGGTTATTATTATGGTTTAAACACCGGTGAGACCTATACAAAATCGGAATATCGTTATTCAATCCGCGCATATTAATTAATAGGTCATGATCCCACATCCCCGATTAGATAGAACCTCATTTATGGAATAAAGATGTAAGGTTTTATATTAACCGACATCCGTGAAACCAAATTTTCGGTTACTAAGACATTTTTTCGCCTATCGCCTTCGGACGTAATGCTAGAGGAGAAAGTACCTCTCCTTGGTCGATTCCAATTCTTCATTTAAGATCGAGATAGCAAATCCGATATGCAATTTTCCTTTTATATTCTCATAACCGAGATAGACACGATAGATTTTTTTCCTATATAATGTAATTGTATGAAAAATAGGTGTACCTTAGTATATCGGAAAGCATAAAATGGTGTCCACGTGATTGTGGAATTCCGAGATTGGCGCATTCTCGAAGTTTAAAAACATGAGACTGATAAGTTCCCAAAATTTTTTTCTAATTCCATATATTCATGCCTTACTACAGTACCATGTCTAACGTCTATGAAGCAATCCAACTGATTGATTCAAAAGAGGAAAGAACTGCACTACGATCCCTCTTTACTAAAGATCCAGAAATAGAAGCTAGAGCGGGACGCGTCCTTCCTACATGTGAGGATAATGGAGAGATAGTTGCTTATTTCAAAGAACTCTTAAAGCCTGGTATGTTCTCTTTTAGTCGTGTCATATTTACCCATAATACCGAATACTTGTGATTTTCTTTCCTGCTTATCGTCAAACCCACCCCCAAAACGCGTCTTGGTTTGCTTTATTTTACCTGCACTGCACTGCACTGCACTGTATTTATTTTTTTTTGCACTAGCACACACGAAAATAGAAATCACTGATGCCTTTCCTGAAGGTATATATCAAGCAATTCTCACCGGAAACCTGCCATTCTTATATAACATAATATTTACATGTTAGGTTTGCCATACGTGAAATCATTACCTTTACTTCGCACTCCTGGTGCAGATTGGGAATATCAACCTGACCCATCTTTAAAGCAAAAGTTGCGAATGGAGATTAAAGAACATTATAAACAATTTTTTTCAGGGAATATTGACAAAACGCACATCCCGACGTGTCTCTTCCTTTCTGGAGCTGGCACTGGAAAATCTAGAAATGCCAGTGAATTTCATAAAACGGCCATCAATTGTTTGTCAGCTAATGAAGATGTAGAACTATTGGCTAGGATTAAGGACGCTTATGTATTTCATGTCAGCTATGAGAATGGAACCTCCTTACGACCGGGTGAGAATCCTTTTCTTGCCATTGGTACTCGAATGCTATTGCAACTTCTCGAAGAAAAAATGAAGCTTGATGATGTTTTGTTCAGATACGAGTCACCATAATCCATCATCTGTCATATCATTGATCGCCAAACATCAGAACCGTGATCTGAAGGATATTACGATTATTTTAGTTGTAGATGGCATGCAACAGCTTATGGTACATGAGGATGATGGTTTAAACAAAGATTCGAACTTTTATCGTACCTTGTCATCCATCGGAGATCTTGGATTGAATGAAACTTTTTTAATGCCATGTTGTACTTGCACAGTTACCTCCTCGATTGAGAATGCAGTAGCATTATCGCATCGAAAACGTGTATACTTACCAGTCGCTTCTTTGAAACCTCCAGAATACCGCCAAGGAAGTAAAGTGGTCCCGGTATTTGAAAAAAAAGACATTATGGATATTCTTGTAGAAGACTGTGGGGGACATGGAAGGGCTCTAGAAGTACTGAGTGAGTGTATGGCGGTCGTTCTATTGACAACTGCAACATTAATAATTTGATGAATGATCTTCGCTTTGGACTCACTGACCGATATAAGGAAGCTATCTGGAATTTTCGCAGCGACATCAGGGCCATTGCGCGAGCAATATTAACCAGAAGTCACTTAGATATAGACAAGTTTGTTCCTAGAACAAAAAAAAAGCCAGACCAATTTGCTCAGAGTGGCTTGATTCGATTTGAACGAAAAAATGAGGCACCAAGAGGATACTTCACTGCACCGTATATCTGGCTCTGGATATTTGTTGAATTTTCTCATGAATGGGAGGATCCAATACTTCAAGACTGGGCATTCGCTGACTATTGTTAGCGGGGAAATGGTATGGGTATGATCGCGCAACGCGACCTGGTGCGTCGCGTACCCTGATTTTAGATAGCTGATATGGTAATTGATAGTTTAGTA